ACATCCACAACCCTTCTCAAGGCGGAAATCATAGTCCTCATGACACTCTAGCAAACGAGGCAAGGACCGCCGTCTCATTAATTGACGGTATACTAATGAGAAAAAGTTATCCTAGCCCCTAGTTATTACTTGTGTATTCGACGAAGTTTTGGAAGATGAGAAACGACGTTCCGATGAGTCACCGCGATTTTTAAGCAAAACCTATGGACTGCCTGAAGATATAAATGGCTGGCTCCCACACTTCTTCTCACGATTTGGGCTTCGGTCAGGAAAACCGCGGCAAACCCGGCCGAGTCGATAGTGCCCGCGAACTGTGTGGGTAAATTTGAAAACGCATCACCACCACAGTTCGCGGGCACTATCGACTCGTCCGCGCTCGCCGCGGCCGCGCCCCAAATCGTGAAGAAAGTGGGGGAGCCCTAAATGGCTGAAGCGCTGATTTAGAGCTAAATCGTGATTGAACCCTCACTAGTGAACGGTGAGTGTAGCACCCTTTTGTCACGCGAAGTTGAATTGCACTTTCGTCTTCAATGTTATCGTTGCGATCGTTTTGACGTCCTGTCTGCTCGCAAGACCAGAGAGGTGCTTCGTTATTTTTTTGCATCAAGAGGGCTTCACGTGACAATGACACAAGCATTTGAGAAACGTTTCCGAACGAGAAATTAGTCACTTATTCAAAACTGAAGTGAGTTACAGGCGCTTTTCTGACAATGACCTATACCACATCCGCAGTCAGAAGCTGTAACTAACTGTCACCATTCCCAACCTACTCAAGAGCTTAACTAGAACTGGAGCCTACTGCCGCAAGTTCTTCCACAAGTTATCTACGGCTTTTACTTGACTACTTGAACTTTCTTCTGGTCCTGTCCGAGTCCGTTAAAAAACGACGCGGTAAGTCAAATATGCGAAAAAACGAAGATCACCGCAACCCACAGTCATTGCACACATTCCGCGCCTACTACACCCTGAATTGCCACACCCTTAGCCAGCTCTGCATCCACGTCTCCCATTCTTAACGGCTTCCAAACAAAATATAAACGCAAAGATCAGAAAAGTGAATTTATCAGGCCGTGGATAGCGGGTTTTACGTGTAACGTTCCAGATGCACCACCCTCGATTCACGAGCAATCTGAGCGACCAATGCGGAACTTCCACAAGTTCTTACAAGTTGTTCAACTCAGTAATTACAAACACCATACGCTCCGCCATGATGCGTGACATCTCTATGCAGCGAGACAAAACACTCGACATTAATCGTGTATCATGTTTATGCAGCACGCAACAACGCTCTAATACGAGTTACACTTGTAACAGATAATAAATTGCTGCATGGTCTACAACTGAATCCTATAACTCATGGAAAAGGATGCTTGCGCGGAGCAATGGGAAACAGTTTATTCTTATATATAATATGGTATGCCTTCAGCAAAAAAGGGCAAATGATTAAAATACAACGAACGCAAAAACCGCAGCCCACGCCGCAAAACAGACTTGGACGCAAAGGATTAATTACATACCGCGGTTAGCTTTTAAATAACAATGACAATTAACAACAACACGCTTGCGAGAAAAGATCATACGGGAATGAGAATTGCTTGCACAGCGAGAAAATTTACTGCCAACCGCCGCCAGCATTCCAATTTCCATAGCCGCCTACTCCGCCATAGCCAGGCTGCGCCGCAGCTTTCGAAGGGGCAGCACCTGCGCCGCCACTTTGCTGACGGAAAAGCGCATACAGGTCCTCGTAGCGTTCGTGCTCACGCTGCAGCTCTCGTTTCAATGTCTCCACTTCCTTTGAAAGCTCTGCGTTCTTGCGCTCTAGCTCAGTTACACGGCTCTCCTCCATGCGGGATCTCTTCTCGTATGGCCCATCAAGCGGCGGGCCGGATCTTCGCATACCTAGTGGTGGTACTCCATATAGTGGGCCACCTGATCCACCGTAACGTCCACCAGGTGCCCCACCAAATCTTCCAAGAGGCCCACCTGATGGAGGAAGCCCACGCAGTCGTCGTTCGCGCTCCTCTTCTACGTTCACGTGCCAGTAGCGACAACGCTGCGCACCGCGAGCACACTTGCCGGATTGAAACTCCTTGCAGACTGGAATCCCCGCGATAGTGTCGCCTTGAGAAACGGCAGCGATAGCTCGCGCAAGTGGTAGCGTCACTTCGCGCGTGTGCTTGTACCGTTCGACTTCCTCGCGCGACGCATGCACAAAGCGGCAGTTGTCGCGCATACAGCCGCGATTCTAAAAAGCCTCAATAAGATACGGTATCAAAGGTCTCATAAAAACAAATCAAAATTGAGTCAATTCCCTCAAAATAAAGTAATACTAGCTGCTTATGATCCCACTAACGTGACCCTAAGCTATGATCTCCAGGCTTCCAGGTCTACGATTAGGATATAGTATCTAAAACTTCCTAATAGCTTCATTAAACGCATACGCACCTGGAAGTCGATGCAGAAATTGATCATATCTTCTGTACGCTGCTTGCTGTCGGTGGGATGGAAGAATTTGCAGCGTGAGCCGCGATTGCAAATGTTCTTAAGGAAATCGCGGCAAACATCGTCGCGATCACGGCCAGCGCCGTTCTCATTGCCGCTGCCGCCGCCGCCAGCGCCTGGACTATCAGAGCGATCGCCGTTAGCGCCTGACTTCGACTCAATAACCTCCTTCTTCGGTTCACAATGTTCCTCACTCATACCTGTAAGAGCTACGATTATGCACATATCGATGGCATTGGTTGATATTCTACACACGGCGACTACAAGTTTCCCTCAGTTCCATGTTCACGGAATAGCATCTTCTACGGGGAGCGATAATTAGTTTCGTCTACCAGAACGACCGCTAAGGCCGCGTTCATAGTTCGCGACTCGGGAGATTAGGATAGTAGGCGATAGGATATTAGGATAGTAGTAGAGTAGGAGATTGCGCTGACAAGATTGGATACGTATCGATTGAAATCGCTGGAGAGTAGTAGATTGGGCGACTTCAAGCGAATAGATCAATACATATCTAATCTTGTCAGCGCACTATCCTAATCTACTACTATCCTAATCTCCCGTCAATACATATGTTTTTCATTGTCGCGTACTATCCTAATCTCCGGAGTCGCGAACTATGAACGCGGCCTAAGTCGCTCTCAATTACTTAAGAAGCGCAACTCAGGAAAAGCTAGCAAAAGGGCCACCGCATTGCAAAGGGTGCAGTGATGTACTAAGTGGCAACACGTTCCATCCATATGCGAGTAGGGCTCCTTACTGGTACCGCACGATCGTTTCGGCCATCGCACACCACTTTATGACCACGGGCAGGGAGACTACTCGGCTCAAACTCCTTAGGCAAACTCTAAGCTATCGACGTCTCAGGGCCGGGCTGCAAGCAAGGCCGCAAGCGCGTGACCCAAAACTCTGCGTTCTATGCTTACTGGTCGATGGCGCGGATTATCATTAAAGAACAAGGAAGTCGTTCCCGAGACCAAAATTTTTGCGGTTGGGCTTTGCCACCGGCCCGCGTATGCTCCACGTTTACCACGCTACCGACCAATACTTAGCGAGAGTCGACTAGTTGGGCTTTACGGTACCACCACAAACCTCAAGCAAAAAACTGATTACGAAATCGACGGTTCGGTACCCTGATAACGATTATGACCATTGGAGCCACCATCATTGAGAACCAAACTGGTGCAAGATAGCGATGTGGGATGAAATTTTGTGTACAAAGGCCGTGGTGATAAAGTTCTTTGTAAAGTTCATAAGAAGTATTACGAAAAACGCTCAGATTCCTTCTAATGATTAGGAGCTAATAACTCTTTGGGAACTTTAAAACAAGTCTTCCATGTAATCGATTAGAAATCAGTGCAGAAGATGTACAGCCAATTTCCATATATGACGCAATACAGGGTACACATTCAGACATAAAACCTCAAAGCCAACTCCCCTGACCACAAGGTTGTATTAAATGATAGCAAAACCTCCCACGACTCACAAGTTGGTCTAAGCATGCGGCGACGACTTCAGAAACAATAGCCTAATCTATGCTACCCAACTCACGTCAAGCACCCCAAGCACTCAACTTCCTCTTAAAAAAACGGTACAAACTAAAACTATGTGGAAGGAAAGAACACGGACAAAGAAAAGCAAAGAGCAGATACCCCACCAAACACGAGCAAAACAGGGACGCAAATGGGGCAATCGATAACGCGTTGCGATTGCTTGCCACGCGTCTTTTAGATGTGCAGGAAGTCATTCCAACTGCGTCCTTTAAATTTTACGGCCGCGCAAGTGTCTCGTTTGAATTGATCGAACCGCGTCATTTCGCCGTTGGCGCTGCTTCGTGGGTGGTCTCACGATGGCTATGTTGTGAGTCACTGGGAGCTTAAATGGAGAGATCAATCGTAATAACTTCGTATAGCATACATTAGCACTTTCACACGAGTAGGTCAAGATTGCATGGAGTTTTGCGGACTCGGTGCGAAGGGTGCATTCTCGTTCCTCCCTTTTCGTTCTCATGTTACACTGAAAGTTACTGCTTGTTGAACGCTTCACTATCTGGGACCTATTTGAGTTTCACTCGTATACTATGTTGTGTATGTCTCTTTTTACATTCCTTATCGTTTGGAACTGTCGTCAGTTGATCTTTTTCATCCGATGACATGGTGCCTTTCATGATAAGTCACATGTTTAGGTAATCAAATGTCAATTTCGTGATGACGCCTGCAGCACCACCACTTGAAACGTTTGCTACCAAAAGCGAGATTTCGAAACATACATCGTATTCCCGGGACAACAGCTCCGCCAATTGTAAATGACATTAAAAAGACACCAAAAATGAAATTTGAAAGCAGAAGTGAGCGAGAACCTTTCTGTTGTCTAATTTTTTAGAAGTTGTTTTTTTTATATTGGCGCCGTTCTAGGATCAATGCAATCTCTCTGCCAAGGAACAGAAAGCTGTGAAGAAGAGGATATCACTCTCCAAGGCGCACACTTTTCCTCGGGGGAACATGGACGTGAAACTTCTTAAATTAATTTGGTGGGTTATTCTTTTATTTTAGCACTGAGGAACCCTTTTTTGTTCATTTTGTATTGAAGAAGGTATTAGTGTGTACACGTGCACTGGGTATGTATTGATCTCATGAGGAGTTCCATTGTTCAACACGATTAGGGCATAAAACAATGGCTGAGGGTTCACTAATTTGTTCGTCTCCAGTGGAAGAGGATTTCTTCAATTTTGTTATCTCTTTTTAAGGTGGAAATCCTATGCACATCGGGCAAGTGCTTAGGTGACAGCCACATTGAAGTCAGTGATGAAGACCGCGACTTCGGCTCTTCTCGCCGTGAAAATGTGAAGAAAACAGCTGTTGGGTCCAAAGGAAGTCGTGATTTGAGGACAGATCAGCGCTACTTGAAAGAAGAGTAAGCAGAACATTCATTGCTTTCGTATTTGCTTCTTCGATCGTGGGAGTGTAGGCAGGTGACGCAGTTTTTCGCCACGCGGACTATTCCCCGTTGCTGCAGGCTGGAGCCTGGGACTGTAAATCAGTGTTTGTGCATAAGGGAAAGAAAATGCATAGTAAAGAAAGTTTATATGATTTTCTAGTTCCCTGGTTTGAGTGTTCCACTTCACGATGCCCTCCCATCCCTTTCTCCAAATAGGTTTACGTTTCGAAAATGTTTCCGCTTCCTCATGCTCACACTTTTGGAACCCATTTTTAAATGCTACAGAACCTTTCTGTATGCAGTATGCAGTGTACATAATTCGCAGTTGCAGCTGCATCGACTCCATACTTGATGATCGCTATCCATTCTTGGACGGTAACAATCGCCGAAATTATTACATCATAAGAAGTGGTCAGTTCTATCGCTCATGTGCCTTTGTAGTGGATTGATGCTGCGCCTCTTGATTTTATGCATGAATAAGTTCATTTAGATGGCCGGTTGCGTGAAGTTTCGGTACAGACCTCTTTCGATTAGAGTTCGGAAAGGAATAGTGCAGATGAAGAGAGTGCGTGAGTGATGTTACCGTGATCTTAGCGGGATGTAGATATGTCAGTTGGATATTTTTATAGACTCGCACAAGCTTCTGTACGAGGCAACCTATCCGATCTACTTCAGTATTAGGCAACATTGTAGCAGTTTTACGTGTCTTATGTTGCTCTGTAATGTTTCACTGACCGCAGTGAGCTAATAGTAGGAAGCGTTGCGGTAAATGAGCAGTGAAGTCTATCTGACAGGCAGTTCTGTTCCATTTATTTGGGTTAGTTGAACAGCCTTTATGCTGTTACTCATATGCTCATCAATTGTTGTCAATTCATATTCGGTGGTTACGGGGCAGCGGTCAACCAACGTGTGCGAGTCCAGACAGAAAAGCATTTTGCTGGGACTAAGCCTTTCGAAGGAGGGAAAGAAAGCAGAGATGCTGTAATAGTGTGTATGTGCGAGAGTCCCAGAGAACACTACAAACACTGAATCACCAAGCCTCGGTTTTTGACCAATTGCCCTTAAATTAGTATTAGTTTAGCATAAGTAGCTACTTGGTGGTGTCGAGGCAAGCGACTGACTTGCTAGGTAATGGTACCAGAGTAGGCTATTTTAGTTTGAAGTGAATTGATCAGAAAAAAAAAAGAAGTAAGTTTAGAAAAAACAAAAAAAAAAAAAAAAAAAAAACATGAATGAATTGCCGTTTACAAATGATCTTCAAGGTGGCGCGCAGAGTGGAGCAATGGCATTCAAATTCCTCTCCGAGCAAATAATCCAAATCCTGCCGAAGTACGTAAAGCTGTTGTTAAGCGAATTTCGACCAAACTCAGTCGGTTAGTTCTCTTCCTGAATGTGGTATCGGTTTCCTAATAGACTTCGCTTCATGTAAACATCATTGTGGATCACTTTCAGTGTCTTACAAAAACGACGTGAGCTAATCAAGGGATTTTTCGACAATGCTTACGAACCCATTGAAACAACACCTCTTCGGGCTATACGAATGCAATGTACTGGATGAGCTGTGGGTAAAGCGTGTCACGAGACTTAGCCGTTAATTCTTTTTCATTTTTTTTTAAGATATTTATTCTACAATCGGCCAATACATTATTTGCAGCTCCGAAGCACTCGAAAGCCCGCGTTGCTATGGAAGTGTTCTTGGACATCATGAATGAGTTAAAATTGACTGCTACATGTAATTCATTGGTCGACGGACATTGGTAAGCTAAGCCCTTTTAAACCGCCTCTGCCTCTCTCGCTGTCCTCTCCTCTCAAGCCTTGAGTCCTGGGCACTCATCCGTATTTCTAAATAGTTGTGCTCTAACTATACGCGCAGGAACATATGAAAAATCAAGTTCGATTAACCAATTCCATTGTTGCAATTGTTCAACTTGGTACTTTTCTTTCACATTACTGACATTAGGGAATCGTGTATATGATTTCACAAATACTTTGTTACCGCTTCACTCTCCGAGTTCCCGGATTGAAGACGGCGATGATGAAGCTGCTTGCGACATTTGCCTGGCGGTGAGAGATTTCTTCTTCAACATCATATGCAGCAGATGCTTTTCGTATGAAGCAGTGAAGTGCTCATAGAGCATATATTTCAGATAGACAGTGAACCAGATGATGAGATGGTGTTTTGTGACGGTTGCAATTTGTGCGTTCACATGTCTTGTTATGGTTTGCAAGAACTGCCACCGGACGAGTGGTTATGTATGAAATGTCGACTGTGTTTGTTTTTTTTTCGCTATACTTACTACTCGTTGTTTGGTGTGTGCGTCGATCGGTATTTCCCGTTTGCACCACATAACATATTTTTCATGTTTTCAGTTACCTTGTTCTTTTTTCTCATGAAACATGCCACTCATAAGCCGCATGTGTCACAGGAAAGTCTGAGCGCTATACAGATTTGCATTTTCGCGTATCCATTTTTCATTTTTTCTCTTGCATTTGTGTGCAGCGATTGGCAGTTTTAATTCTTTTGGCAAACATCTGGTGAAACGCCCGTGTCAGTTGTCATTTATATACTGCACGTAGCGCTTGCACAGACACTGAAAGAACGGCGGCGAAGAGAAAGGGTTTGCAGAGAGTTTGCACCGCGCAGATAGCAAGTAAACGACATGAGTGCCAACAATTTCAGTCCATTAGATGGGGTTTTGAGATTTCTGGTTGGTACTTGTCAGAAGTGAATTTACTGGATGATATTGGCTATTTTCTCCCACACCCTTTCAAGGATATAATGTTTCGGAATTTACGGACAGTGATGTGGTGATGAGGCTGCACTGTTTTTGCGCATTCAACTTAATTGAGCGTCAAGAGCCTTCTCTGTAGAACTTGGTTCAATATTTAAAAGTCGGAAACAAGGTGTACGCCAAAAATGCCTTCTTTCAGGTCGCAATCCTTCATGCTTGTTGTGTCCAACTATAGGCGGTGCATTGAAGTGCACAGACACGAATCAATGGGCGCACGTTGTGTGTGCGTTATGGATTCCAGAGTGCCGGTAAGATAGTATCGATTTCGCACCGTCTATTGATTTATATCCGTGCAAACGAGGTTACGGGGCAGTGGTAACAACCTTGAGAGTTCAACAAAAGCAAATTACTTTTGCATTCTGAGGACCAAGTCTTCGAAGAAGTGAAAGAAAGCAGAGACCGATGAAATAGTGGGCCTAGAGAACACTACAACACTGAATCAATCTGACTTTCGCGTTGACCGCTGCCTTGTGCCGTTGTTCCCTTGTGTAATGCATAATCAATTTTGTAGCAAGGAACGAAGTGATATTTAGATAGAGTCGGCTAATTTCGTTATCATCACGTTACAGTGTATTAACGTTTTTACTAGCGCAGTCATGCAAGATCATTTGATCTACAGCTTCCAGACATCAACACTTATTTCAGTCTTTCCGTGTGGTTGTCAGATACGTGGTTTCAGGTTTAGACGTCGAAAACGCGGGCTTAATCTCCGTATCAATAAATAGGAGGAGCAGGTGGAGTGCGAAGTAATGATTTTCTGTTCTCTTTATCTATCTTTCGTGTTTGTGGAGTATTTCTTTATTTGGTTAGGTTATGCGACACTCGCAAGGCTTGTTATCAGTGTTCTGTTGATCTCTGTACTCGTTATTTTATCTAATGTTGCTCTTCGTAGCGCAAAGTAGAGATGCGCATTAACAGTGATTTCAAAGCTGTTTGTGTGTATCTAAGGGCGCTCTGAGAGAGAAGACCCTCGTGTCTTTACTTTTTTTATCGAGGATGGTTATGTACTAAGAAGAGGCAACGGTACAAGCATGTTCAGATTCAAATTTTGACCTAATTCAGTAACACGCACATATCTTTTCTACGATATTTGCGCAGTAAAAGTCGTTTTGATAAGCTGCTAGTCTAAAAACTATGACGGGGATCTTCTTACAATTAACATGCAAGGTTCACTGTCAAAAGCATGTTTCAAAATGGTTGTGACGGAGTTATAGACATCCTTTTATTGTAGGATGCGGTCGATGACAGAATTCACATGATATCGCTTTGTCCGAGGCATCGTTCCGCAAAGCCCTTCGTTAAAGGACGAGTCCGTGTGTGACTAGTCATAGGAGTGAATTATATTCTGTCAATAAGTGTTGTGTTGAGCTGTGTGAATGTTTTATTGGCATCACCGTTATGATGGATTAACACTGAGTACAAGTGTGAGTACAGTTATGATGTGTCGTTATGAAGTGTATTCTTTAGAATGTCGTGAAGTGTTGAATAATTTCTTATGCACTGCTTTGATTATCATTTAGGCTGCCTGATGACTGAAATGAAAATGGACAGTACGGCGACGAGTCTGACAAAAGCTCGAGAAAACATTGTTTACGTAATTCGTAGATCACGCTGCTAGTAGCTGCAGAGATCCACGCGGAATTTGCTCTCATCTCCATGTTTGCGAATAAATACTATATTTTGTTTTTCCAGGTTGGAACTTGATCCGTTACTCGTAGCTGACGTCTTTGCCTATTGGGTGAAAAAGCGCCTGCATCTGAACAATGGGAAACCACTCATTGAAAACTTGCAAGATGAAATCAAGGTGCATTTTTGATCACTGTTGCTGTAGTTCTTGTGAATGTATCCTTTATGATCAGTTTACAACGTCTTCGTTGTTTAGGTTGTCGAACCGGAACCACCACAGCTGAGTTACTGTTATATGAAGTATGTTCTAATGTTTTTCTTCGCTTCTACAGCAGGTTAAAGAAAACGTGGTCGTCCGAGGAAAAATCCAGTGGAAAATGAGGCACCATCAACTCCTGAAGCAAAGGTCTTGGATGCAAAAACGCTTCACGCTAAGGAGAGGTTGGAGCGTTCCCTTTGTGAGGTCAGTTTTTTGTTCCTGTTCCTGATGCGCAATCTCCATTTCATCTCTATCTCTTCGTTAGGACTAAGCTTTCCAAATAAATTTAGTGAGCTGAAATCACCTTCTTTTAGAAATGACGATTATAACGGGTGCAGTGAAGAAAGTTGGGAAAAGTCTAAAATACTTCCCAAAAAGTGAAATTATTCGAGCTTCGAGTTCCTTTCTGTCAACACGATTTTTCCAATTTTAGATTTTTTCTATGTTATGCGGTGGCAGTTGAATTAATGCGGTGGGCAGGTGGAATCTTCGTTAACCGGCTGTCGTTTCGTCCATGTCCTCATAGGCCTATCTGCCTATGGCGGAGCAACAGCACTAGTTGCCAGTTGTTATCACTGAATCAATTTATTGAGCGTTCAATAATAGCGACTGACCGAGTGGCGTATTTCGCTTCTTCACAGACGGGTTGGGCTGTTGGGAAAGACGATCTTCACAAACAATCGACCACTAACACACCTGAGGGCGCATGCATAGTCGGTCGTCCGATCGTTAATCGTACAGCGTTAGATTCGCATGCTCATTCAATTCTTACGCGATGCGCATCCAATGCTGTAAGACCGTTACGATTGGACGACCGAATATGCACGCGCCCTAACAGCTCCATAGAAACAAGAAATGTAATAGAGAGATGTCTCCTTAATGGTATTTGGTATTTGCGTAAATATACCTGATACATTTATTTTGAAGCAAAACCCCTGCTCGAATCTTGATTCGGAATTCTGCGTAGGCCGCTTCTTTCAATCAGGGCTATGTGAAAAGCAAGCTGAAATAATTTTTGGAATTTGCAACGTCTTAATGATTCTAATTTTACAATGTCTGTCTTGATAAATTGTCTCAGATTTTTCTAAATTTTCTAATAAAGTTTATGAAACAGCGGTGTATCAAAAATAAATGTTTTGAAAGACGTGATTTCAACCCATTTTCATATTCTAATGTTCGCGATGTTGCTCAGCATCGATGGTATATGATAATCATCATTGTTTAGTCATTGCATAGCTTTTTTTGCAATCGTTTCCTGGTGCCATAAAGTACGTAGCTCGTAGTCTCGCTGTTGAACAAGGTTTCTGAAATGGCGCGTAACTACCGTTGTCGAAATACGAGAACTTTGAGACGTTGCGCAAACATTAGCCCAATTTTGATGCAGAACTGGATGTAGTCGTACGGATAAATTTGAATTGTGCCTGTATTCTCGTGACCGCTTGGTGATCCACTTGCATTTGTCAGATATCAAACACCTCCTAGACCTTGGCGGCCACGGCGAGTATGTAGTCCATTTCTGGTTGGTCATATATCCTTTTAAACTATCTAACCATAGAACTCGAAATATAGGAGGAGGAGCCATAATGCCCTTTTTCATTTCAGCTCCCTCTCACCCTCTGTTTCCGCATCTCTCCCTCCCTTAAGGCTGCGCATTTTGCGTGTGAAATATGCAAATATTTCTGCGCTACAACTTGCTGGAGATTTTGCGCACATAGAGCAAACTAAAGATATTCTAAGATTGTACTTCTTTTCAGGGGAGACGGCTGCTTGATTTGGTGATGAGAAGATCCAGGGAACAACGGAACTTTCTTCACGCCCATATAGGTGCTTTGTTGCTAATAACGGAGCATCTTTCGAGGCCGGTTCCTCTCAGTCATCGTACGGATAGATTTCTGAATGAGACCTTGCAGGTGTGTCCTTTGTGGATTCGACTTTATATAAGAATCAAACTCAAACCCGGGAATATCACTAAACTCATACTTCAATACCGTAAAAGACCCCAATTACCGGAAAAAATTTTTAAATAAAAAAAATTTCCAGCAGGTGTGTCCTTTGTGGATTCGACTTTATATAAGAATCAAACTCAAACCCGGGAATATCACTGAAC